TCCCCACATTCTCAACCTTTGGCCCCAAACCTCAACTCTTTGCCCCAAATCTTGACTGGTTTGACCCCTGAGTTCAACTTTGTCCCTCTAATCTTGACCACTGACCCAAAATCTCTACCTTTGACCCAACTCTCAACCATTGACCCAAACTGCAACCGTTGACCAAACCCATTGGCCCAAATGGAACATTGTCAAAGGTTTTTGGCAAATGGCCCAGATTTGGGGCAGAGGGCAGAGGTTTGGGGTCAACGGTCAAGATTTGTGTTCAACGGTCAAGGTTTGGGGTCAGTGGTTGAGATTTGGGGTCAGTGGTTGATATTTGGGCCGATGGCTGAGATTTGGGTCAATTGTTGTGATTCAAGTCCAAAGGGTGGAGGTTTGGGGGGAGGGTCTGGGGTTTGGGGACAGGTGGGGACCCCGCCAAGGGCATCGATACCACCAGTAAAACCACCAGCACCAGCACCTTTGGTGCAGAAATAGGTGGCAGAATCCTCCTCCTTGAGGTCGTTCATCTGCAGCGTCACCGAGCTCTGCCCGTTGTCCCGGGAGATCGTGAACCGGCCCTGCACCGACGGCGCGTAGCCGGTGCCACCACCAGTGTTGATGCCAGCAACATATTCCAGCCCCTTCCCGGGGCTCTGGCGCACCCAGAACATCCAGTAGTTGCTGAAGGTGAAGCCGGAGGCGCGGCAGAGGAGCCGCAGGGACTCCCCCGGGGCCTTGAGTCTCAGCTGTTGACCCAAAGTCTCAATCGATGACCCAAATGTTGACCATTGACTCCAAATCTCAACCATTGACCCAAATTTGAACCATTGACCCCAGCCTACACCTTTGGCACAGTTTGGGGCACTGACATTCAGTTTTGGGGCCCATGGTTGACCCTTGAGGTTCAACCAGTTGAGTTTGGGGTCAGAGCCAGTCCCCGGTGCCCGTTGGTGCGGCCGGTTGGGTGTTGGGGCACAAAGAGTTGGGATTTGGGAACAACGAGGAATAAGAGTTGGGGCCAAGAGCTGAGGTTTGGGGGAAAGATTGGGGGTGTGGGGAGATGTGGGCACCTCAAGGCCCTGGGGGAGTCCCTGCGACTCCTCTGCCGCGCCTCCGGCTTCACCTTCACAAAGTACCACCTGGGCTGGGTGCGCCAGAGCCCCGGGAAGGGGCTGGAATGGGTCGCCAGTATCAGGAACGATGGTTCCAGCACCAGGTACGCGCCGTCGGTGCGGGGCCGGTTCACGATCTCCCGGGACAACGG